TGTGGGTGTGAACCGAGGCACTGTCGCCACTCCCCACAGTAAAGCATCTGCACGTCACTCAATGCTGCCCAAGCCCTCCCTTCTTCCCCCTACCCAACCTAGGAAGGAGGGTGAAGGGCCACAGTTGCTGGGTGTTTATATAGAGAATAGGTTGATTTTACTTTACATGCTTTTCGGTTAATGTTGGAAAACTAATCACAAGCAGTTTCTAAACCAAAAATGACATGTTGTAAAAGGACAATAAACATTGGGTCAAAATGGAGCCTGTGTCCTGGCCCCTGTGCCTGCTTCTTTTCATGGGAAGGGCCTTGGGCTACCCCTCACTGCCAAGGCATGTTTCCACATGTGAAATCTTGGAAGCAAGATTGCGCTGTCTTCCTTTCCTGATTAACATCGGTGTGATACTGCTGCCTCGCCCCGTGTCTGCAGTGTCACTGGATGGGACTGCAGCGGAGGGGGAGCAGCCTGATGGAGCTCCAGATGTGGAGAATGTGACATCCTACACCTGTGTTTGATGTGGATGGTAAGGCTAGGCCTGCAGAGCCCTCTTTTCCTGAGCAAGGACTAGATTGGAGTGCCCTCCAAAAATCTTAGGGTTGCAGAAAGATAAAATCTTTGTCTGGAGGTGAATGTTCTTTCGCTGCATCTAAAAATCCTAAACGTTCATGCTGTGGTTGAGGATCACTTATCATTATGTCCACCTTTCCTTTATGTAATTTGTATTATAAAAAAAAATAGCTTTTTTCTGATATAAAATTCTAGTATTGGATGTGTTTTTTTCTTAAACTAAACATCCTCCCCTGCTCACAGTTTTACAGATGATTGCTTGTGTAGTTTTTTCCAGGTATAAAGTATCCTCTTCATTCAGCAGGTGCCAGCATACTCACTTATTGATGCTGGAATCAGTACCATGATGCCCTGCCCTAAAGGAGGAGTATGGTGCAGAGAAAATAATCTACTGAGTCAAATTTGTATTGGTCGTTCTAGTACTTAGATCAGGCTCTCGTCTGGTCTGTGTAGATAATCTACAAGCACACAAGATTCTTGGCTGATTAAACTGGGGCATCTCGAACTCATGTCCTATGAAATAAATTGTTTTGCACTTTGGGGATTTGAATTGACTGTCACTTGTTTTCCATGAGACTTCCTCCGCCAGATTCTGTCTTTGATCCTCCTTTGGTTCTCCCACCATATGGGTATCCTGGTGGCTTAGCCTTCAGTCTTCTTCCCACTCTGAACCTTATCACTTTGCCTCATCACTCTGGGTTGGCACCGTAACCTCTATGAGGACCAAAGACAAGGTCTTTTGGGGAAGGACGTTCGGTACCTCTGCATCAAGTTATGGGAACAGAACAGAAGGTAAGTGGTATTTTCCCACGAAGTTTGTCTCTAGGGAATACAGTTGGAGCTCTATAGATTCTTTAGGAAAAACCAAGAGCAGACTTAGGGATTTGATTCTGGTTCTAGCACTTGTGCTTAAAGTGGTGTAGCTTCGAACAAGGCGGTTAGCTCTCTTGGGGCCTCTAGATTGTTAATCTGAAGAAAAGATTGGCACTGCTTTTTTTTTTTTTAAAGATTTTATTTTTCCTTTTTCTCCCCAAAGCCCCCCACTACATGGTTGTATCTTTTAGTTGTGAGTTCTTCTAGTTGTGGCATGTGGGACGCCGCCTCAGCATGGCCTGCTGAGTGGTGCCATGTCCTCGCCCAGGATCCGAACCCGCGAAACCCCGGGCTGCTGCAGTGGAGCATGTGAACTTAACCACTTGGCCACGGGGCTGGCCCCAGCAGTGCTTTGTAAATGCTATAGAAAGTGGTGTGGGACTGTTTGTTGTCAGCTTACACCTGCAGAAGCCTGCTTACTTAAACCAAGAGGCAAGTTGTATAGGCAGTTTTTTTCCCCCACACTGTTCCCAGAAAGAAATTGGAATGTAATCTTACTGTAGCTAATCACTTCTTCCCATAGGATAAGTGCTACAATTAGAAGATGGGTTTCTAACCAGTAATATGGCATCAAATAGATCACAGAGGGCCAACAGTATACCACAGAGGCAAAAGCAGAAATGGAACTATACACCTAACGTCTTGAGATATATTTGGATTCAAGATACTGATCCTACAAGTTGTCCTGAGAGTCTAATGGTCACACAGTGTCCACAAGGAACACAGGTCTGCCACTTGTTAATTTGGCCAAACTGTGGCAAATGTTAAGTGTTCTTTTTCCTCTTACCCAGTCCTATAACCTACTGAGGACTTAAAAAGACTTAATAATAGAGGACTTGGATTTTTCATAAAGTTATCCAGAGACGCAAGACTCATTAAATGTCCGTGTGTCAAGTAGAAATTCAGAATTGCAGTAAGAGACTTTCCTGGGGGATAGGTGGGGAGAGGGAAAGTACCTTCAGTTACATTCTTGGCCAGCAGGTGGTGAGTTTTGGACTCAGACCCTATAGACAGGTTTGGACTAAAGCTTTGGAACAGAACAGTGACATTAGTGAGAGGAGGCAGAGGAACAGCATGTACCTTCTGACTGGTGGTTTTTCTCAACCAGATACACAGAGTAGAGGCAGTGTTGTAGAATGGAAAGAGCACTGGATTGGGAGTGTGGACTTGACCTCAGAGAACCTCACTTTCTTTGAAGGGCTTGATAGCACCCATTTCCTGATAGTATGGCTATCAGCAAGACACAGATTGTTTGTTATGGGGCTGCAAGGAAGGGGAAACCATACGGAGACAGAATCAGAGAAGGCTCTGCAGGTAGTCTGAGCTGGGCGTTAAAGGAGGGTGGGAGACTTGACATGGAGAAGTGCAGGAGAGCAGATTGAGCAAAAGGCACAGAGACTAGATAATACAGAGCATGTTTAAGAAACATCAGGTTGGGGCTGGCCCAAAGGCTGAGTGGTTAAAGTTCCATGCGCCCCACTTTGGTGGTCCTGGGTTTGCGGGTTAGGATCCCGAGTGCAGACCTACACCACTCAGCCATGCTGTGGCAGTGACCCACATACAAAGTAGAGGAGGATTGGCACAGATGTTAGCTCAGGGCTAATCTTACTCAAGCCAAAAAAGGATTGGCAACGGATGTTAGCTGAGAGCGAATCTTGCTCACCGTTAAAAAAAAAAGCAGCATCAGGTTGACTAGCAAGGGAGTCCTGGAGTGAATTTGAAGAGATCAAACCACATTGTGAAGAACCTCAAATGTCAGGAGTGAACTTTGTTCTAAAGGTGTTGTGGGTCCTCGAAGATTTAGGCAGGGAAGGGGCAGATTTCAGTGCTAGACAATGCACTTTTGTGTGTGTGTATAGGAAAGCAATTCACCCAGCAATTTGCAAGTGTACAGTACAATATTGTCAACCACATGTGCATCGTTGTGCATGGACAATTCACTTATAAACATTTTAGTTTTATAGAAGCAGTAACGTGCATTGTAGAAATTTAGAAAAATAGAAAATTTTAAAAGTAATAGTCCCAATAACCAGAGATCATATCTTAATAACTTTAGTTCCTATTTTTCTGATTGTTTTTCTGTGCATGTGTGTGAACGTGTGTTTATACATGTGGTATTTTTAAATCAGAATGAGAGCGTACTGCTTTTTGTCAATAATCTCCACTTTTCCCTTTTCATTTAATCTAATATTCGTACCATATTCAGAGTTTCCCAAGTGACTCGAAAATGTCTTTCACAACTGTTTTGACCAAACTAACGGTCTAGTCTAGGAGCACAGGTTGCATCTGTTATGTTCCTTTAATCCAACTTTTATGACACTTTTTGAAGAGATTGGGTTATGAGAATTGTAGCCATGTGAAGGTTGGATTAGAAGGAATACAGGGCGGGGCTGGCCCTGTGGCCAAGTGGTTAAATTCACGCGCTCTGCTGCAGGCGGCCCAGAGTTTCGCCGGTTCGAATCCTGGGTGTGGACATGGCACTGCTCATCAAACCACGCTGAGGCAGCGTCCCACATGCTACAACTAGAAGGACCCACAACGAAGAATATACAACTATGTACCGGGGGGCTTTGGGGAGAAAAAGGAAAAAAAATCTTTAAAAAAAAAGGAATATAGGGTAACCAATTTGGCGAGAAATGATGACTGAACTAAGATAGTGATGGCAGAGGTGGAGAGGTGAAGATGGATTTGAAATACATTTCATAGGTATAATTGACAGGGTTATAATTGATGATGGATTAGATTGGGGAGTGAAGAGGAGTCAGGAATGATAGGCTTCTGGCTTGGTATTGGGGTGGATATGATACCCTTCAATAGGAATGGGCACATGGGAGGAAAAGGTTAAAGGGAAAGTTTGGACAAGTTGAATACGAGATGATGTCTAGCAGACTGTTGGATAAGTGGATCTGAGACCTAGGGATGCTTAATAAATGACCCATGCTTTGAAATATGGCACTTAATGGAATTGGATTCAAGACTTTTTTTTTTTTGAGGAAGATTAGCCCTGAGCTAACATCTGCTGCCAATCCTCCTCTTTTTGCTGCGGAAGACTGGCCCTGAGCTAACATCCATGCCCATCTTCCTCTACTTTTTTTTTTTTTTTTTTTTTTTTTAAATTGTTTCAAACTTTTTTTTTTTTTTTTTTTTTTTTTTAAGATTTTATTTTTATTTTTTTCTTTTTCTCCCCAAAGCCCTCCGGTACATAGTTGTGTATTCTTCGTTGTGGGTCCTTCTAGTTGTGGTATGTGGGACGCTGCCTCAGCGTGGTCTGATGAGCAGTGCCATGTCCGCGCCCAGGATTCGAACCAACGAAACACTGGGCCGCCTGCAGCGGAGCGCGCGAACTTAACCACTCGGCCACGGGGCCAGCCCATCTTCCTCTACTTTATATGTGGGACGCCTATCACAGCATGGCTTGACAAGCGGTGCCATGTCCGCACCCGGGATCCGAACTGGTGAGCCCCAGGCCACTGAAGTGGAATGTGCGCACTTAACTGCTGCACCACCGGCCCGGCCCCAAGAAATTTTTTTTTTTAATGGTATTGGTAAAATTGGACATCTGCTTTGGGGGGGAAGTTAGATTCTCACCTCATACCATACTCAAAAGTTAGATTAACAATCTAAACATAAATATATAAAACTGTGAAAGGTGCTAGGAGAAAGTGTTTTATGGTTTCCATAAAGGAAAATGTTGGTAGATTTAATTACATAAAATTTTAAACTTTGATACAGTAAAAGTCACCTTAAAATTAGGAAATAAACTACAGATTGGGAGAAAATATTTGCATCATACATAATAGGTCGAGTTGTATTTGTGGTAAGCAGGATAATGCTTTCCCCAAAAGGTGTTCACATGGTAATCACTGGAACCTGTGGATATGTTATTTTATATGGCAAAGGGGAGTTAAAGTTGCTAACCAACTGACTTTAAGATAGGAAGAGTATCTTGGATTATCCAAAGTAATTACAAGTGTCCTTAAAAGTGGAAGAGAGAGGTGAAAAAGAGAATGATGTGATGTGAAACTTGCCTTGCCTTTGCTAGCTTGGAAGATGGACCAAGAAGGCCAGTAGCCAAGGAATGTAAGCAGCCTCTCGAAGGCAGGAAAAACAAGGAATGAGTCTGTCCAGTGCCTACAGAAAGGAATGCAGCCCTGCCAACCTCTTGATTTTAACCCAGTGAGAAATATGTCAGACTGCTGACAAAATAAATTTGTGTTTTCTGGTAATTTGTTATGGCAGCAGTAGAAAACTAATATCATATCCAACAAATAGTACAGTAGCAAAATGGGTAAAGGATATGAACAGGCAATTATAGAAGAAGAAATCCAGATGGCCACTGAACATATGAAAAGACACTTGTTTTTGTGCCCTTGGGGATGGATGAGCTGACCCAGGGAGAGGAAGAAGCAAAGGGCTGAGAAGAAATGGCCAGAGAGAGATGTAGAGAACTTGTGGGTCAAGTGGGTGAAGAAGGGGACCATATTTAGGACCAGACAGCTGCCTAGACCCAGACCCCTTGTGTTTATGTGAATGGATGTATTTTTCTTCTGTTCACTTGCTGTAAAGTTTTTCTCAAGGGCAGCATTGGACTATTGGACTGTGCTCCCCTGGCCTTACAGCCTCACCCTGTAGAGTAGGGATGTGTGGACTCGAGGTTGATCATCTGTGAAGCGCTTGAACAGAGAGTTAAGCCTGCAGAATCCTGAGGTCTGTACTTCTGGGACTTGATCCTGAGGGGATATGGCTGTAGCCGAAGTTAATAGAGAACTTACATTTCCAGCACCCCAGACTCCAAAGAAGACATGAGTGGGATGTGTCTAATTCACCTAGTTTATTAGGATTTCTGCTGCTTGTTTCTCCACCCCTTGACTCGTTTGGCTTCAGGTCTTGGGGTACTTGGTGCCAGTATTACCAGCCTTTCTTCTGCTGACTGGATGTGATGGGCAGGGGTCCATGGGTACCCAGAAACTTGGCTAACACCTTTTGGAGACCCCTAGAAAGGGGAGCCTGAGGTGTGGGAGAGGACAGATCCTTCTCCATGTGGGCCCAAGGGCAGTGCTTACAGTGCTGAGGGTTCAGGATGTCACCAGCTCCCAGCCCTGGCCCTCGTTGACCCTGGGGACCGACAGCCTTGGAGTGAGACTGCTGGAGGAGAGCAGTGTGTCGAGAGCTCTGGTCCCTGTGCTGAGATCTTTGGGAAAGTCTGCTTACAGAAGCCTCTGCTAATCTGGCCTGGGCTGGGTGGCTCTTCCCTGTAACTGTAGATGACCCCAGTCTTGCATCCCCTCCTCTGTGGCCTCCTGCTTTGGGTTTCCTGGGGCTGTCTCTCTTTTTGGCTGAAGATGGGGCTGAAGCCTTGTCCTGTCTCTTGCCTGAGGCTGGAACCTCAGGGTTTGAGGGCTGTTTCAGGCCTAGGCAGTTCTCACCAGGCTCCATATGAACACATGGCCCCTGGGATGAGACCTGGGCCACCATCTTCGCCTTCATTCTTTCCTCTCTCTGAGACCCTTGTGCTGCCCTGCCAGATCCTTGTAGCTGAGAATGGGAAGAGGAATGGGAATGATAACAGTGGGAGACCTGGACAGGCTGAGTTACTGTGCTCTGAACTTTAGGGGCATGGCAGCTTGAAGAGTGAGGGCACAGCTGGGGAGGATTCCTGCCTTCCTGTGGGGGGCAGGAAGAGAGTCTGCATGTGCCTAAAGTTGTGGAACTCAAGGCACAGGAGCTGCCAAATGATTGACTTGGGTCAGGGGATCTGGAAGCAAGGCTCTGTTGCAGTTTCTTCAGTCTGAGTTCCAACTCTTTACTCCAGTGCCAGGCCTGGATCCCAGAGAGGGAGGGCACCTCTGGGACAGCCTCTCCCCGGGAGGATGGAGTCTCTGCCTTAGCCCCTAACTGCTCTCCCTTCAGTAGGCCAGTCTTGTTGGGCTCAATCTTCAGAGCTTCAGCTAGGGTGAGAGGCCAGGGTATTGGCTGCAGGGGATCCACTGCTGGAGGGCTGGATTCTTGAGGGATCCCTCTTTGTTGCACATTTCTCCACATGAACTCAAAGTCAATGTATGGATCTGGTAGAGGAGGAGGGAGTGAGCTGGGGTTTGGGGCTGGGAGCTCAGTGGCCCAGCGTTTCTCTCTCTGCTCTGCTGCTTCCTCCTCAGGCTTACAGTTGGGTTGGTCTCCAAGAGGCTCACTTATGTGAGACTTTGACATAGAGTTTGGGGGTGGACTGGGGCCCCACAATGGGGACACAGGAACACAATAGATTTCCTTTTGCTTCATATCCTTTCCAGCAGGCACAGAGTCAGACAGGACTCCCAAGGGACTAGCTCCATCTGGGTCTTGGGGTAAGCTGCAAGCTGAGAGCTCAGAGACCCAGGATTTCTTTCTCTGTTGTATGTCCCTACATCTAGCCTCAGAATCAAACAGGACCCCCACGGGGTTAACTCCGAGAGGCTCCAGTACAAGAGCTGAGGGTGGGCTGAGGGTCAGAGATGAAGGCTCAGAAGCCCAGGAATTCCTGGAATGCTCCACGTCCTTCCCTGCAGCTTCTGATTTAGTGGGGCCTCCCACAGGATTGACTCTGTGGGGTTCTAGAATGGGAGCTAGAGATGGGCTGTGGGCAAGGGATAGAGACTCAGAGGTCCAGAGGTTCTCTCTCTGTCCCATGGTCTCCCACAAAGCTTTAGACTCAGACAAGACTCCCTGTGGGACCATTCCTAGGGACTCCAGCAGAGAGGCCAAGGGAAGTCTGGGAGATGATACTGGGTCTGCAGAGACCCAAAGATTTTCTCTATTCTGCATGCCCTTGCATGGAATTTCAGATCCTTCTGGGACACATGCAGGTCTGGTTCCACAGAGCCCTGGGTTGAGGTCCAAGGCTAGGGGAACAGAGACCCAAGGGTTTCCTGAATTTTCTCTTTGTTCCCACTGGGGCTTGTATCCAGATGGATCTCCCAGCAGACTGCCTACTTGGAATTCTGGCAGGGGGCCTGAGGGAGGGTAGAGGGCTGGCAGTGGAGACCCAGAGGCTTGAGGGTTCTCTCTGTGCCCCGTGGTTCCCCAGAAATCCTTAGGTGCAGAAGGTCCTCCTTCAGGGCTGACTTTCTGGGGTTCTGACAGAGAATTTGGGAGTTGGCAGGGAGCTGGCATTGGGGGCTCAAATGCTTGAGGACTCTCTTTATGTCCTCTGGTTCCCCAATGAGTCTTATATTCTTGAGGCTCTGTCATGAGGTCTACAGATTGGCAAGGGACCAGCACTGGAGGCTCAGAGATCTGAGGATTCTCTTTCTGCTTCCTGGTTTCCCACAGGGCCTTAGATCCAGTCAGGTCTCCTTTAGGGCAGACTCCCTGGAGTTCTGGCAGGGAGGCTGGTATTGGACTGGGAGCTAGCATTGCTGGCTCAGAGGCTTTGGGGGCCTCAAAACTAGTCATAACTCCCAGAAGGCTAGAGGGATACAGCAGAGAGGCAGAGAGTGAATCTAGAATGTGTTGTTGGAGGCTGGAATCCCATGACACCTTCCACCAGACCTCAGATGAAGGGAAGAACTTGGAGGGTCTGGTTATCTGGAGTTTAGGCTGTGGGTGCAGGGCTTGATCCTCAGAGACCCAAGGGACTTCTCTCTGCCGTGTAAGCTGCTGTGTATGTGCCTCAGTGCAACATAGGACTCCCTTATGGTCCATGGGAAAGGACTTAAGATGGAGGGATAGTGATGGGAGAGGAGGGGAAGATGGAAGGGGAAGTTGCCGAGGATCAGGGGCCATTCCTTCCAGATCTTTCATAGTCTGGACTTCATGGGTAGGAAGCTGGGTTGGGGAGCAATACTGGGCAAGCAACAGGTTGGACCTAGGCAGGAAGGCAAGTTTGTTGAAGAAAACAGAAGGACCAACAGACAACTTCAGGGGAGAGGGGCCACCTGAGCTCAGGAAGATGGCCTCTAAAGACTCGCTGTGCAGAGAGGGGAGACCCCAGAAGACCTGGCTTTTCCTCTGCTGTAGACGACTGCCTGATGCTGTCTTGTGCCTCACGGGCAGGTTGGTCAGGATCTGAAAGGTGGGGAAGGATGTGGAAGGGGTTGGGGTCTGCATGAGTACTTGCTCTGCTGTCCCTATGGCCTTCTGGAGGCCCTCAGAACCACAAGATGGCTGGAATGGGGCTGTGGTGGCTTGCTTTTCAATAGGAGCTTCTTTGGGAAGAGAACATGGCTTCAGTGGATCCAGAGATTCTTCCTCTTCATCTTCCTCTTCCTCCTCCTCCTCTGACTTCTGCTTCCACAGGTGATCAAGGAAAGCCACATGGTACAGAAGCAGTAGGCCCTAAGGAGTGGAGAAAGATACCATCAGGTGTCTTTTTGATGCCTGAAGGCTTTTCAGAGACACAAAGAGTGTTATGAAGCCCTCAGGCTCTGTTCCATATCCAGACTGAACAGTTACTCACCTGGCCCCACATCTGTGGTCAATAGTCACTTACCCATCCGGTGTTAATGGCTAGTATGCATCTACATTTGGAGATCAGCATTCCCTTACATAACTCTACATCTGGGGTTAGTGATCACTCACCTGGCTTCAAATCTAGTGTCAGTGGTTACTCACCCAGCCTCACATTTAAGGCTTATTTATAGTAACTCACTTGGGCCCACATCCATGGCAATGATTCCTCATCTGAACTCACTTGTGCTGTCAATAGTCATTTATCTAGCTGCACATCCACGTCACCCACCTTGCCTTGCATCTTGTTCCCAGAGTACCAGAGCTGAAGCTGTTGCCACCTTCCAAACTGCCACCACCTCCGGATCTGCCAAACCGTGAACAAGAATAGTATCACCAGATTCCCTGGACTCTGGAGGCAGCTGCTGCCACAGTGTCTGCAGGTCAGGACATGGATCAGCTGGTCCCAGAGAAGTCCCCTGTCCCCCTCAGCTCCAAGCAGGCCCACTAGCAGCCATTCCATTTTCCTCAGCCTAGCGGCAGTTTACCCTGAGGTCATCACTGCATCACAGAACAAAGAACTCCCATTCCCCACCTGCCTAACAGCCATCTCCCTGAATTTAGGGCCAAAAAATTGCCTCTACCAGACAACTCACACTTCATACAGCAAAACCTGCGTGATTCCCTTTTGTCTTGATTGCCAAGGTCAGAATTATTTTCAGGCATTGTGGTTAAGGACATGGATTTTAGCATCAAACTGACTTATTCAAATCCTAGTTCTGCCACTTCTGACTTGTGAAATCTCAGTCAAACTACTTAATCATTCAGTGCCTCTGTTTTCTCATCTGTAAAATGGGGATGATATTATTACTTACCACATAGGATTGTTTGAAAATTAAATGAATAAATTTATATTCTTAGAATAGTATATAGTGTATACTATATTAAAAATTTATTTCTTTTAAGGTTCCTGATTACAAGCTTCATTCCATCTGTTCCCTCTTTTTTTTTGTGAGGAAGATTGGCCCTGAGCTAACATGCGTTGCCAATCTTCCTCTTTTTGCTTGAGGAGGATTGTCTCTGAGCCAATCTTCCTCTATTTTGTTTGTGGGATGCTGCTACAGCGTGGTGTGATGAGTAGTTTCTAGGTCTTCGCCTGGGATCTGAACCTGCAAACCCTGGGCTGCCAAAGTGGAGCACTCGAACTTAACCACTACGCCACTTGGCCAGCCATGTTCCCTATTTTTTTTTAAATCTCACATCAGCTGTGAACTGTCTTATTTGACTTCAGGTTGCCTGAGATGTTTTTGGCAAGCGTTCATGTTAAGGATGACAATAAACCAAATGTACTTGACCATTTTTCATTTGTCCCTCTTTCCCCTAAAACCACCACTCTCTTCCATGTCAACTCTTCTTTTCAGGGCCAGACTTCAATATGTGCCTTCCCAGAGCAATTTAACATCTCTCTTCTCACCCCACTTAGATCAAATGCCATCTTAGTCTGGTAGAAAGAGCTCTGAGCTGGAATCGAGGAGACTTGAGTTCTCTAGCTCTGTCACTGGTTGGCCATGTGATCTTGGGCAATAAAGTTTTCTCCATTGGTACATGAGTTGGACTAGATTCATTCATTCACTCATTCAACACATATTTATTGAATTTCTACTATGTGATCCAGTAGTGTGCTCAGTCTTGAGGAGACAGAAGTAAGACAGAGTCTCTGAACTAAAGTAGGTCCCATTTCAGTCGGGGAAGAATAGAGATACGCACAGGGTACTATGGGGGCAGAGAAGGATATCTAACCATCCTGGGGAAGGGGGTTGCTTGTCAGGGGGTGTTTCCCAGAAGAGATGATTAAGGCTTTGTTTGAGAAACCAAGAAAACGAGAATGTAGGGAAGGAGAAAAGGACAATCCAGGTAGTAGGAGCAACCTGTGTAAGGTGGTAGGGCAGAGAAAGCATGTCCCATTAGGGAAATTGAAGGTATTTCAGTGTGGCTGTAGTATTAGGTGGGGGCTGGGAAGCAGTAGGAGATGGACCTGTAAAGACAAGATCACAGAGGGCCCTGAATGTCAGACTAAGAAGCTGGAAATTTATCTTGAAGGTGATGGGAAATCATCAAAAGGTTTTGAGCAAGGAAGTGACAAGATCCAGTTTGTGTCTTGGAAAGAACACTCTGGCTATAGTGAGGGCAAAGAGATTGAAGGCAAGAGATTAGGTAGGGAACTCTTACTTTAGGTTAGGGAAAACAAAAGAGGCCTGAACCAAGGCAGTGATGGTGGGAATGGATTCAAGTAGAATTCCAAAGAAATAATTGATTGGACTTAGTTACCAGTGGGATGGGATGGAGGAGAGAGGGAGCTGAGAATGACTCCAGGTTTTCTGACTTGGAAAACTGGGTGTGTATGTTAGCACCATTTTACTGATATAGGGAACACAGACCAGGCAGCCAATTTAGGGTGGGGAGGTGATGTGTTCCATTTTAGACATTTGAATTTGAGGTTCCTGTGACAAGGAGAAACTAGGCAGGAGAGTTAGATACAGGGAACTGAAGCTGGGAGAGCAGTCTATGGGAGAGATGTAAATTTAACAGCTAGCAATATATATATAGCAGCTGAAACCATAAAAGGCTTAAAGATGACCTACTGATATGTAATAGTTGGCCCAGACAATGTGGTCAGCAGTGTTTTTTTTTAAAAACTTGAATGAGGGGCCACCCTGTGGTCTAGTGGTTAAGTTTGGCGTGTTCTGTTTGGCAGCCTGGGCTTGGTTTCCGATTGTGGACCTACACCACTTGTAGGTGGCCATGCTGTGGGGGTGACCCACATACAAAATAGAGGAAGACTGGCACAGATGTTAGCTCAGGGCAGAAAAAATATAAAAAATAAAAACAAAACAAAAACTTGAATGAGTAGCCAACATTGTAAAATTAGCAGGTTGTACATAATAATCAATATTTTGAGCTTAAAATCTGGCAACACCGGACTCTCATTCCCATTAAGTAAAGACCATTTAGAGCTAAGTAGCAGCGGTTCAGTTTGGAGTAGACATGTGCTCTCCAATTCACTGCAGTTCTCATCACGTTCTCATTGTTAATAGCAAGTCTAAGGGCTAGTTGCTGTTTATCATCATGCCTATGATTTTGTCCACTTGTCCATTTTCAGTCATTTGTATTATCTGCCTGGTATTTGAGTTTTCTCCCTCTGGATAAAGTTGAGTCCTGATGGGAAATAGAGAGGGCAGTACCTAATACCTACACTGTGCTAGTTAATTTACATTTATGGCAGGATAATTTACCAAGTTATTAATCACTGTCTCCTACTCCTTGCCTAAAGAGACACCCAGTAGGATAAAAATGTAACTGCTCTCTTCCAGGAATTCTAGGTTTCTTGTCTCATGGAATTGTTAATGGATTTTGTATTTTCTAGTCCTAAACCAAAGTTTCCAGACACCTGTTCAACAACCTTCTCCAAGCTCTTGTGTGAGAGAGGAATTTAATTTCACTGGGTGTTCTTGAGGAGAAGAGGAGGAGGTGCTGGGATGAAAGAAGTTGCCCAAGGATAACCATGGGTCCAGGGACTTGAGAAAAGAGACAGAGTGATGGGTTCCATGAGTGACAGGGTCTGTACAGAAGTCCACTAGGAGGCAGCAGGACTTCTGAGGGGACACTAACCATCTAGCACATAGTCTTGGGAACTGCAGCAAAAGATGCTGTTGTGCATGCTTGGCAAAGATGCTGTGGACCCACCTGCCTTTTTTTTTTTTTTTTATTGAGTTATTGATAGGTTACAATCTTGTGAAATTTCAGTTGTACATTAATGTTTGTCAGTCATGTTGTAGGTGCACCACTTCACCCTTTGTGCCCACCCCCCATCCCACCTTTCCCCTGGTATCCACTAAACTGTTCTTAGTCCATAATTTTAAATTCCTCATATGAGTGGAGTCATACACAGATTATCCTTCTCTCGCTGGCTTATTTCACTTAACATAATTCTCTCAAGGTCCATCCATGTTATTGCAAATGGAATGATTTTGTTCTGTTTTGCAGCTGAGTAGTATTCCATTGTATATATGTACCACATCTTCTCTATCCATTCGTCTGTTGCTGGACACTTAGGTTGCTTCCACATCTTGGCTATTGTAAACAGTGCTGCAATAAACATTGGGGTGCATAGGACTTTTGGGATTTCTGACTTCAAGCTCTTTGGATAAATACCCAGTAGTGGGATGGCTGGATCGTATGGTAGTTCTATTTTTAATTTTTTGAGGAATCTCCATACTGTTTTCCATAGTGGCTGCACCAGTTTGCATTCCCACCAGCAGTGTATGAGGGTTCCTTTTTCTCCACAACCTCTCCAACATTTGTTGCTATTAGTTTTAGATATTTTTGTCGTTCTAACGGGTGTAAGGTGATATCTTAGTGTAGTTTTGATTTGCATTTCCCTGATGATCAGCGATGATGAGCATCTTTTCATGTGCCTATTGGCCATCAGTATATCTTCTTTGGAGAAATGTCTGTTCATGTCTCCAGCCCATTTTTTGATTGGGTTGTTTGATGTTTTGTGGTTGAGTTGCGAGAGTTCTTTATATATTAAGGGTATTAAGCCTTTGTCAGATATATGACTTGCAAATATTTTTTCCCAGTTAGTGGGTTGTTTTTTTGTTTCAATCCTGTTTTCATTTGCCTTGAAGAAGCTTTTTAATCTGATGAAGTCCCATTTGTTTATTCTTTCTATTGTTTCCCTTCTCTGAGAAGGCATGGTGTCCGAAAAGATCCTTTTAATACTGATGTCAAAGAGTGTACTGCCTACGTTTTCTTCCAGAAGCCTTATGGTTTCAGGTCTCACCTTTAGGTCTTTGATCCATTTTGAGTTTATTTTGGTGAATGGTGAAAAAGAATGGTCAATTTTCATTCTTTTACATGTGGCTTTCCAGTTTTCCCAGCACCATTTGTTGAAAAGACTTTCTTTTCTCCATTGTATGCCCTCAGCTCCTTTGTCAAAGATAAGGTGTCCATGGACCCACCTGCCTTTGAATGGACTATATAGGTCTAGATCATGACAGACTCAAGACCTGAGATTCTTTCCTAAATGTTTTTTTTTGGTCAGTGTATATCGTGTTAAAGAGTGAAAAAACTCCCCTAGTCATGATTAATATTGGATGTCTTCCAACTCTAGTAAACGGGAGTTTTGAGCCAGATTTAATTTAATTTAGAAAAAAGTAATGTGATGTTTCTTGCTCCTCAGTGTTGTGGGATGAAGATGTTATATGCTAACATTTATTATTCCACTTAATCTTTACAACTCTTTGAAGTAGGTATTCTTATCTCCTTTCACATAAGGGGAAACTGAGGCACAGTAAAGTTAATATATGTTAACTATATATTTTCTCTCTCTATATATATATCTCCTAGGAAGCAGAGCCAGGGATTGATAACCCCAATCATTTGGATATATGTGACATAAAATAAAATCCAACAGATGTAAACACAATGGGAATGTACTGATTTATAACTGAACAGTCCAGGAGTAGGACTGGCTTCAGGTAGTAGGACTGATGTAGGCA